AATGTCTTATTTCTCAGGCAGGTACCCTGAACACCAGACAACCGTGGGCTTTTTTCCCCTCTCCCTTTCTATCAAAGTTGTATTGTCTTTGGTGACTGCAAACTTGCCTCCCTTGTTATTACTGTGGAGAAGAGAATGGGCTTTTATTCAACTTGTGCCTTAGACTACCAGGACAGAGGGCTAGAGCTGCTCTTTTGGGTCCTCCCTTTTTTGCTTTGTGGACTGGGGGGTTTTCTCTTTCTGTGTTGAAAATAACCAGTGTTTGGTGTTGACTGTTAACTGCACCATGCAAATCCAAATATGGGGAATTGTTCTGGAGAGAACATGAGAAGTTATGCATAAGATAAACAAAGGGAGGGTCACAGGATTTGTGTTTGTGAGCATCTTGTTGATGTGCTTAGTTCTAGTGACCAGTTTCATCTGAATAGGTGGTATTTAAAACCAGATAAATACTATTAGTTGCTTTTATTTGGCTAAATGTAGTTCTTCTGCACAGGTGGAATTAACTGGACACAGCATTTTTGACTTCACTCATCCATGTGACCACGAAGAAATTCGAGAGAATCTGAGTCTGAAAAATGGTAATAATGAAAAGAGTCACTGTTTGCTTTTTAAATAACCAGATGAAGTAATTGGCTGACAGTAGAGATCTGTTAGTCTTGGTAAAGAGAATTTTCATTCCTAGAGTAATCATTTACTGTTATTCAATACTTCGCAGATTTGTTTTTTTCCAACTATTGCTTATATACGATAGCACTAAGAACTGTTTGTTTAGTGTTTTCCTTTCATCAAGTTAAGACAGGCATAATGTTTTCACTTGTGACACTGCAAAGATTTATGTGCTGCAAGCTAAAACACAGGTTTAAATGCTCTTCAATGGTCCGTGCATCTTTGATGGTCTCTGCAGGTAAACTATCTGAGAATCAGTCTGTTATTTCTGTTGAATCTTTCAAGCTTATAAATAGAAGAAATCAAGAAGCAAAACTGAGAAATCTCATTTCCCACTTTCCTTATACAGGTCCAGGCTTTGGAAAGAAAAGCAAAGAGATGTCAACTGAGCGTGACTTCTTCATGAGGATGAAATGCACCGTTACCAACAGAGGCAGAACTGTTAACCTCAAGTCTGCCACGTGGAAGGTACCATATTTCAGCCATAATAAGCAATTTTGATGTAAAAAGACATTTTGGCATGTAGGGAAAGTACATTCTAAGTTTGTTTCTCATTCAAAAATCACGATTTCAGGTTTTGCACTGCACTGGACAAGTTAAAGTGTATAACACTTGCCCTCCTCACACTCTCTGTGGGTATAAAGAGCCTCTCCTCACCTGCCTTATAATAATGTGTGAGCCTATTCAGCATCCTTCAAACATTGATATCCCCCTGGACAGCAAGACCTTCCTGAGTCGCCATAGCATGGACATGAAATTTACCTACTGTGATGACAGGTAAGCTCCACTGATTTTTCCTTCCCATGGGTGTTTCTATCTTCTTGAACAAAACAAGCAGTCCTTTCCAAATTTCCTCCTGTGTGGACCTTGTAAGCAAGGGTGAGACGTACAGTCTGTTACCAAGACAGCTATTGAGCGGCTTGCTTAATTCATCTCAAATCTCAATTTATGCAACGTGGTACTTCTGCTGTATTTCCTCTTCCTGCTGAGTGAGAAATTCAAGTTCACTGACAGATGTTGAGGCAACTTAGAGCCATTAGCTTCTTGGTTTTTAACAGACTTAAGAGCACACAGGATTTCTGCTCTAATTTTTTCGAAAATGTCTCAAATGACACGCCTTATGGGGCTCAGTCAAGGACTGCTTTATGATTGGCTTGGCCCGGGATGCTGTTATCAGTTAGCTGGAAGGTACTTTATGCTCTAGATTAACTAAGAATTGCTAAGGCATCCAAATCATCTGCAGCTCTGAAATGGGATTGCAGCCTCCTGCTTGATGAAAAGTAAACAACCTTTGCTGGTTATCTGCTCCTGTTAGTGGTGAAATGAAGGGGAGGGGAAGGTCTTGGGTCAAACAAGGGGCTGTGATCTCCACTCCCATCACTTCCTCTTGAGTGGAAAAAAAGGAGAAGCCCCTAGTCTCCACCTGTCTAAATATTGTGGTAACCACCTTTCCTGTGTGCGAGTGAGCCAGAGATCCCATCCCATGAAGTGTCCTCCTGTTCTCCATTTCCCTAGAAGGTCCTGTCTGTGCTACTTTGAGCTTGGTGTTTGTTTAGGGGCTTTTTAAATTTATGAGGTCATCCCTGAATTTAATATGAAGTTTTCTGTCTAATGAAACTGGTCTCCTGAAATTCAGAGATGCTAGCAACTGCTGAAGTCTGTAGGGTTATCAGTGGTTTTATATGTATGCTATTGTTTTATGCAAAAACTCACAGGATTGAGGTCTTGGTTATTTTTTTCATCCTTTGAAGGTTTTTAAAAACTTGTGCTAATCAAGATAATTATTTTAAACAGTGTGATGAAGCAGCCATATAAACTAGCTGTGTTAGCAGCTGTGGATGAAAGCAAGATTACAAGCATGAAACTTGTGACTGACCTTCTCCTGACCTCTATAAGAATTTAGCAGCAAGTGTGCTGTAACTAGAAATGTCCTCTGTTACTACCACAATAAACCAGACTTTTTTTTTTTATTTCCTTGTTAATACTTTCAGGATGAAAATACTGAGATATTGATAGGATTTTTCTGCTGGGGGAGGAAAGCATCAGTGTGGTAGCAAGTCATTATTAAAAGCACTGTACCTGTGAATTACTGGGGCCATTCAGTGGCAGGCTAGAGGAGAGTAACAGGATTTTGCTGTATTGCAGCATTCACATGTCTCTGCCAGACTTAATGCATAAGCAATTATAAATGAGAATTAAAGGGACTGATACTATCCCATTAAAGATACACATGCTTATTTTAAAAAGAATGACATATTATGCCCTGCCTTCAATAGTGGGAGTGGATTTACAAGGAAAACCTTGAACATGGCAGTGAAATACAACAGCTTCCTCTGGAGGATTTAACTTGTAGGGAATTTCAGAGATTTTTCTTTAAAACCAGGCAACAAAACAGCACATCTTTTACTAGATAGTTTTGGCTGGATGTTTCATTCATGTTTTATTGAAATGATGATAAAGCTGTAAGAAGCCAGCCAGGCCAGAGAAGGAAGAGACCTCACGAACCTTTCAGGTTCTTCTCAGCAGATTCTCCTGGCTCTTGCTTCCCTCCTGGAGGGATGTTGATTTCTCTCCAACAGGCGACACATCACTAGACACATAAAAATGCAAAACACTCAGCTGTTCTTATCAAAATCAATGCTGCTAGACAAATTGCATTGAAGGAGCAGCTTATGCCAAGAATGTAAATCCAGGCTGAGGAGCGGAGGAGAAAAAGCAGCCTGTGCCACTCAGATGCCTAAAGCCTCTTCAGCCTACACCGGCCTTCCTGTAGTGACGCAGTAGGGTTGACACAGCTCAATTCTCCATAAGAGACTGTGACTTTCCAGTTCAGGGTTGATATCCTTGAGGGCAGCGTGCCTCCTTTAGCAAGCTTCCGCAGCAATCAATCCCACTTTGCAATTCATCTTGGGTGGACCAGTCTGCTTCTAGGAAGCATTAAGTTTTTCTTTTTGAAGCGTTCAGTTAAAGAAACTCTAGGATTTCTGAGGAAGTACCTTAATGAATGGCAGCCTTACTAATGGAAGCATCTGCCTCCAGCGTGAAGCTTCAGTGGTTGCAAAAGAGAGCTGCCCTTGTACATGAAGCTGAAATTTATCCTTGTGGAAAATGAGGATCAGATCTGTCATCTCCTTAGGAAAGCTCATAGTCCCTGTCTGTCATAAACCAACACACAAAATGTAAACTGGCTACCTTCCAACACTATGTAACAAAAACTAGTTGGCTGACATGAAGTGTCTTGATTCTTTTGACTTTTCCTCAGGAAGGTACAGGACAGATGTGATATGAAGCAGGCAAGACTGGCCATTCCTCATTTAAAATGTGTGAGACACTAACCGATATATTTTGCCTTCCAAAATTAATTTATATATGCGGGCCTATGACTTGCCAGTGGTTAGGTGGGATATGTTTGTATTCTTAAAACAGCTTCTGCAAGATGATGAGCCTGTAACAAAAGGTGTGTGACATATAAATAATAAAAATAGGTTGTTCTGTAAAATGCCTGCTTCAGCTATTCTGGAGAGTGATTTTAAAATGTTCCCTTGCTCCACTTTTCTTGGCTAAGTGGTTTACAGAAAGGATTATTTTAGCTGTAATACAGAAATGCTGATCAGTGATACATTTCAGTAACCCAAGTGAGGATTTAGTTCAGCTGCACAATGCTTTTGTGTCATGGAAGATCACCAGTGAGGATGTTTTAGTCAGAAAAAAAGGCAAGTCTTTGTATGAAGGCAATTTTGTTACCTTGGTGGTATATCTGCTGCTCAGCCTATCTTCTCATGCGTGGCAATGGGTAGATAGAAGTAGTGGCAGCATGTTTCTGTGGTGGAAAAATCCCCAAAACAGAAGTGAAATCTATATCTGAATTTGATAGAAGACCCCAGCAGTACTTCAGGTGCCCCAGCAGATGCAGTCTCAGCCTTTATGGTTTGTGCATAACAAGGGAACACCATACACTGTGTTTTGGACGGGACCAGGGTTTTGAAAGCAGGGAAGGTAACACGGCATTGTAGGTGGCGTTGGCTTTTCACCATCATCCCTGCGACCTCTCTGGGGTGCTGGGGAGGGGAGAGGGAAGCGCTTTTTGCCCATAATTGCTGTGGGTAGAATGTCTGAGGGGAGAGAAGGGTAAGGAAACAAAACTGTTGTGTGTAGGGCAAGATGTGCAGGTGGCAGCTCCAGAGGCTGCATCACAAACAAGTTCCCTGGCACCCAGCACACTCAAAAGCGTATGTTCTCCATTACTTTGTGGGCATGGCTTGCTTTGGGGAATTGTATGTTCCTGGTTACAAGAAACCCAATTAGTTGTACTCTTTTTCGCTGCTTCTTGATTGGAACATTTTAATGGAGGATTTGAAGAAGAAAGAGGAACAATGGAGGATGTACGGTGATTCAAAGTAGGATGGTGCAGGAAGGTGCAATGCCAATAGTGTTGGTCCCAGTTAGGTTTCTCCTAGTATGAGTACACGTGAGATCCAGGCTGTGCCGACTGAGAGGAAACTGAGTTGTACTGTGCTTCCAGTTATGTCCCTGTAAAACAGAAATATGCAATGCAGGCACTTTGACCTATATGTGGGGAATATTTTTAAATTAAGTGAGGTTGCAGATAAACATTTGAAAGGACCTCCTGTCCCTTCATTCCTGCTCAGGAGGAAAATGCAGTATGGAGACAACAGTGAATATCTGAAGCCAAAGATCTACATTTGGCAAACTGGCTTTTGGTATATATCATATTTAAGAATAAAGCATGACCAACTTCTTTTGTTAATAATGAAACTTTGATTTAGATAGACCAAATGAGTAGGAGAGACAGAGAGTCCTGGTGAAGTTTTTCATTTACCCATCTATTTTTTTTTTTCTGTCTAGCACAGCAGATACACCTGACTAGGCCAGCCATCCCTCTGAGGCAGACAGGAGTCCCAAGATTTTGCATTTTATGCAAAAATGCCTCAGTGAATATTTTCAAGAGGAAATGCGGGTACTTGGCAGGTCTGCCATACTGCCCTGCCTCATGCTCTAGCAGGCTGGCAGAGTGCTTTATCCCAGGCGTAGTGGCTCTGTTGGGCTTTTTTTTTTTTTAACTTATTCTGCTTTAAGTATAACTTTGTTTGTTTGTTCCCCTCAAGACCAATTTAACTTCAATCACTTGGTAACAGTTTGAATACAGAAAGACTTTGTTAAGAGATCCACACCCTCACACACACAGTCCACACACAGCCCAACGAATATATACCCAGCTATTTTTTTATGAACAGTAAACATTACAGCAGTCTTTCACAAAGAATCTGACTTCTCAGTACTAATGGTTCTTATGATACTATTTTAACTCAAGAAATGGTATACAATAAAAAGCTTTGTGCTGCTATAAAGAGACAGAAAAGCACAATTTTAAGAAAACCCAAACCACTTTAAATAGCTCATCTCGTAGGAGATGTAGCCTTTGAAGAAGTGAGATTTATTTGCTTTGCCATGTCTCGGAGAGATAAAGTAGGGCAAAGTTGTACAAATCTAGAAAGAGAATTCAGATCGTTTGTTTCTCCATTATGCACCCTAAGGACAAAACTCTTGCCTTTACTCCACACCCCAAGAAATGGGTATATTAAGAGAAACAGAAGTAGTGCTCAAAAAGCATTTAAGTAGCAGTAGTTGGGACAGATCCACTACTGTGGAAGGCTACTGCCCACCTCTTTACTGTGTTTTCTGAGATTTTGACCTCAGTACATCATGGTGACAAGTTTAGCTCATAAAATGGAAGTGCCAGTCTGGCAAGATTAAAGATTCCCCCAAAGGTATTTGTGTTTTCAGAAATGAGCGGTTAGCGGGAGAATAACCAGCCTCTCAGACCACCCGTCATCTTCAACAAAAATTATTATCCTTTCAATTAGCACCAATTTAGCTTTTGCAAATGCAAAGGAAACACAAAGCCTACCACGGCAGGAGTGCCATCCAAAAACACCGCACAGTTTGTTTTCCAATTTTGTCATTCCACAGCTTGCACAAAGAGCAATTTTTTGCCTGGTGTCTAAGCAAAAGTAGAAGTCTTGTGTTCTGAACTCAGTTTTGGTCCCACAGGGCATATACATTTCTGTGACTCTCTTAGTTACGTACTCCTCCTCCTCATAACTCCATAGGATGCTTTTTCCTTTGTACTTGTCATCTATGTATTCACTTGGCATTTCGTATTGCTAAGAGGCTCCTGTGGAAAGCGCGTGGAGTTTGGAGGGTGCACCTCACTGGCGAGCCTCAAAGCCATGCTCAGGTGAGGTCAGCGCAGGGACCTTCGCTGAAGCACTCTGCCTTCTGGCCCCGGTGCTCTCTGGGCTCCCAGCTGTGGCCAGTCTTCTTCCACGAAGGTCTCAGGAGTCACAGGATGGGTGTGATGGAGATGGGGACAGCTGCCTGCCTCGGCCCTGGAGCGTAATGCGGCATGGGACTGGCTAATCTGACTTCCAGCCCAGCACTGCCTGCAGCCTGTGAGATTCTCTTAGGCTTTTCAGAGTCAGCAGCACCAGAGAAGGAATCAAGAAGGTGCTGGTTTTAGGTGCGTGAATTGGCACACAATACTGCTAACAATTCCTGGAGAAGAGGGTGTTTGTTAGAAAATCTTGGTATTTAAAAATGTATCTAGGAAACATTGTCAGCCGGTTTTAGGGGGTTTGTGGGATGGGAGAAAGAAAAACTCTCTAATTCTTTAAAAATAATTTCACTCCCAGCAGTGTCTAAAGAGAAATGTAATGAATCAGAAGAGTGGCAACAGATTTACAGATCAGTTAAGAAGGGCATAGAGGGTGTGTAGCCATTTATTTGTTTTTTAAAGTAACTTTTGAAAATTACTTTTGATTAGTATTTCACTGTTACCAGGCGTGGGTGTAGAATTTGGCCAGTGTTTTGGGGCTTGTGGGAAGTTCTTTGATATCTTATTTTTATCTTTCTGTATACTTTCTGGTTGCCTGTAGTAAAAAGATATCAGCCCACTGCTTGCTAACTTTCATCAAAGATTACACTAGACATAAATAAATTTGACATTGTCACAGCAGGGTTGCACCACAAGTCATTGTGTGCCATGGAATGACAAGAAGAGTAATTTTCTAGTGAGGGAGCTCATTATGAACAGTGAGGAACAGTTTGAGAGGGGAATTATAGGATTCGAACAGCCAATTTGGCATAGAGATTGCAGTTCCTATGTGATAAGAGTTAAGGGTCCCTCAGCCTTCTGAAATGCATATTTTTGGCTTGCTATCTCCATTCCACTGTTGACACTCATGAAGGCTGCAATGTGGCTTTGGATTTGCATTGTTGCTGCTGGCTACATGATGCTTCTTTTCTTTCCATTATCTGTATTTCTTTTTCCTTCTCCCTGCTCAATCGGCACTTGGCCCTCAGCTCCCAATAACTGGAATAAGAGTAAATCCAACAACTTCCTGAATTTTAAAAGCCTTCCCCTTGTGATGAGCTCCAAACTAACTGGGATGGTTTTGTGATACTATGCCATTATATAACCAAAGGCCATAGTTTCTGTTTATAAAGACAGTATATTTACACTGGTCCTGGCAAAAGCCTTTGGCCGCTTACACCACTGTGTCCCGGCTGACTGCGTAAAGGCAAGCAGCAACTGTATTTTGGGAGACTTACTTTTATTAGGGCTCCTTCTGCATTTGTTGTTTTCTCCTGATGGTTCGGATCTGACAACCAATTCATTTTGAGAACTTCTGCTTTTATTAAAAAAGAAAAAGCAATTGTGGTTTCAGACAAAAGTTACAGATTTGACGGGGGTGCAATCTAAAAGCTCAGAAGCTTGTCAGTGAAGAGAGACAAAAAAACAACTCTCTTTGAAACCTGATTCAAGAATTTCCCCTTTGTCAGTCTAACTGTAAGCATAAATATTACTGTAAACATCAACAGTCTTTGCTCAACTAAACCATTATAAACCTAGGTTCGTTCCATGGAAATCAGGACAGAGTAGTTTTCAGAGAGACAAAACCAAGGTGTCCCAGGGGTATGACCTATAGTTCTGTGGGGGCGAGGGAAAAGCTGACTCATCGCCTTGGCGCTCAAACCATACACCAAATAGCTCCATCTTGTGTGTCTTCCTTGCTGGAGGGTGATCCAGAAGATGAATGCCATGCTCTTGCTCTGTTTGTTTTACAGTATTTACACGTCTGTCTTGTAAAGACATGCTTGTGTCTGGAGGGCTGGGCCAAGGCTGTTCTTCCAGCGAGTACATAAACCTGAGGATGTCTCTCTTAAAAGTAGCAATGCCACTGATCAGATGTGGTGGTGGCAGACAAAACCTTTCCAAGGGAGTTAGTTACGAGGCATAAAACCTGGGCACTGCCAGTGATGGCAGTGGCGTGCTGCTGCAGCTCCTTGCAAACCTCCTGGCTTTTCAAGCTTTATGACAGTTTAGCAGGCAGTTTGTAGTTGTTTCTGATACGGCTCTCTGCTACATTACAGGTTGTTATTGCCGTTTAAAAGCTAGGAAAAGGCATCCAAGAGTGCTGTTGACTTGGAAAACGGTAGTGTTTCCTTATTTGCCCAGAGGATACGATATCTTTGCTTTTGAATGATTTTTTTTACTGAGCGTGTTTTCCTGTAAAGTTGTGTGTGATGGTATTTCAAAATTAATTTATGAAAAAAGAACCCTTTTCCTCTACCCCTTCATTAGAGAAAATAATCTGCACAGTTTGATGACCTATTTTCATTTATTCAGGAACTTGTGAGAAATCATGCCTTGCCCAAGTACTCAGAAAGGCTCTGAAAAAGTCTAGTTTTTGAGATCATGGCTTTCTTTATGTAAAAGCCTACTTTGTTTGTGGATTAGTCACCCAAGTAACCTAATCCATATGCTAAAGTTCTCATATAATTGAGAAACACTAAGTAGAAGAGCTGAATTTTTTTTTTCTTTTAACTGCCCTTCATTTCTCACCTTGCACTTTTATTTTATTGAATGCAATACCCGAAATATTGATTTAACCCTTTTTTGTTGTTGTTTTTGTCTTTTTAATGTACACATACTTTTAAACCTGATGGTACCAACCACTACCCTTGGTACCAACCACTACCCTCCTCATGTGTATTTTATTTTGAGTGATGGTAGTTGGGAATTTCCGCGTGGAATGGACAGCTTGAGAACTTTGTCAGCAATGGTTTTCCAATTGAGACCTATAAAAGATACTGTGCCATAGGCCTGGGAGAATTTGCAACACACATAATGATATCACTAGGAATTTTTATTACAGTAGTAGTAAAAGGCAGTTTATTCTGAACATGGAAATATTTTAGAACATGATCAGAAGTCCTCTACAGCTCCTAACGTGTTTGAAAGTTCAGAATTTCTCATCATGTGGTTTTAATTCTTAGTCTAAGGACTAGAGCTGATAGCTGCCTACCACATGCAAGCATAAGGCTAAGATGACCTGAATTTTATTTTATTTTTTTTCTTCCTTAACCAAGAATAACAGAGTTGATTGGATACCATCCTGAGGAGCTGCTGGGCCGTTCAGCATACGAGTTCTACCATGCCTTAGACT